AACATACTTTTGCTTTACATGTGTTCTATTTTTATTTGTATTTATTTTTTACATTTTACATACAGCATATATTGATGCTTTTTTATGCAACAACCACCATTAATGTTTGGTCCAATAAATATTTTCTGTTTTTTTTTTTTCATGTCTTTGGTGTTTACAGTGTACCTGTTACTCCTCTCTGCAGATTACTGTCACTGTAGAACATTGTATTGAAAAGCCTAAAGAGCAAAGAGCTTAATATTTAGAACAACAGTGTTTACATGCTTTATCCAAACATATACCATTTTGTTTGCCATTAACAGTTTTTCTTAGTTGATACCCACAATTAATCATACTTCAGACACACTGACTACAACATATAACTGCTGCACCAACCCCCTGAAACAAATTCTGCTAAACTACAAGCACAATTCATGCTTTACACTCAAATTTCAGGTTTAAAACACACTTTTTTCAACACTACACACAATTTTCTGCATTTGACACATTTTTCAAGCAGAAAAACACACTGTCAGTTGCCCTACTTCGCATACTAACTCATCATATAGGTAAACACCTGTCACACGTATTTGTAATTCAGAAATCAGAGTTAATCTGGTTCATAACTGATTCAATGCCCACCCACATTTTTTACTTGTTTATCTCCCTCCATATTCTCCATTTCTCAATCCTATTGAGGATTTTTTTTTCTGCCTGTGGATGAAAACTGTATGACCGAAATCCACACTTATTTTGTCTTTTTTTACTGTAACTGTATTCTGTAAATACTTCAGCTCATGGCATATGTAGATCAAGTTATGTGCAACTTTGTGTTGGTTGGGGTGAACACTGTGTACACTGTTTTTGTGGGAAAAATACAGTAAAATATATTTGGTACCGTGAATTTGTGTGCTTTGTATAAAAACAATATTCTGAAATATTTTACAATGCACTTATGTCGGCCTATGTACTGTCTGTAGTAAGTGTAACACTGAACAAAAAAAGGCGTACTGTAAGTCATTATGATAAATGGGGAAGAAGTGGTCATTATATTAAGTACATCCGTGATCAACTGGTTCTAATAAATGTCTATTCATGTGATGGTTTGTGTGTGTCATTTGAAAGCAAACTACGATTTTGAAAACAAATCACATTGTTTTGAATGTAAAGTTTCATTTTACAGGATAATTAAAGGTTTTCCCCAATGTGTGTGTGTTTTTGATTTGTGTGTAGAGTTCTGACAATATGAGACATGCTTTCAGAAAATGTGTGTAAATAATTAGGAAAACTGTAATGCAAGTGCTTCATTCTGATGTGAGTTTATAGCATTTTGAATGAAGTGTTACATTTTGAAGATGATAGGGTATGAGGCATTTTGTGTGTGCAGATTTGGGAAATGTGTGTAAAGTTAAAAAAAAAAAAAAAGGGTACACTGTTTTGAAAACATGTTTAAGCAGTTGAAAAAAAACTGTAAATGCATTTAGATAACAATTAAAGCAGCAAATTTTCATAGGATTCAATTAAAACATTCTGATCAGAGGTGATCGACAAAATGATATTCTGAAAGTGTCAGCAAGTGACAGCAAATGATTGTATTACTAAATGAGTCATTAATTTAACCAATTCATTTGAATCAATGATTTGTTCTGTAAGATTTGCTGCTGAATGCATTGAATACAGACAGTCATGAATGATATAAGATCATTGTACTCAATGCAACTAACATATAACGTTACTCGGCTTATTTAATTTTTGACAAATGTCTAATAATACTGCTAAAATTATTTATTTTATTTTACATAAAATAATAATTATTAACCGGTAGAGCTTTTAAAGCTTGTTCTGTAAGGAGTGTTTTGATTGGTGGATTAAAAACTCACAGCGATTGGCTAAACAGAATATCCTCCAAAAGATGAGTACCAATCATGTCCTTCCAGGAAGGTCTCAAAAATACTGCACTCAAATTCAAAGTACTTCATGCTCGAGTGAGCATTTTCAAAGCACATTTGGTGGTTCATAAGCACATCTAACCTAATTCATAAATGAGTGAGGAAAGTAATCCAAGAACTTCATATATACATAATTGTGTAAACATTTTAAATGTATTTATGTAAGATGCATATGTGTGAGCATTTGGGAAATTTTTACTTTTTACTTATGAATTGATGAATTGTGTTTTAAATTGATGAATTGTGTTTTGAATTTATGAATTGTGTTTTGAATTTATGAATTGTGTTGTGCATTTATTAAATTTATAAATGCAAATGTATTATTATTGAGACTGATCTGGCTCCATAGGATTGTACCAAATGATTCATTTAATATTAGTACATAGTACACTTAATTTAATATGTGGTAGAATAAAAAAATATAGACTTTAAAATGCTTTCTCTAAAGTGTTCCTTTCTATGCAAACTCTATGATGGTGCTCTGGGTTTGTGTGCAATAACTTGCAGATTAATTTTGAGATTTGCTTGTAACTTGAGCGTGTTGTCATATCCTGAGTGTGTGCTAATGTGCACTATCACATTCCATCAGCCACCACCCTCTTGAAATCTACACCTATGATAACACACACCCTCTTTTTCCAACAGCCCACATCCCTCCACTTCAGATCTAACTGAGAGCGCTTTGACTCCACTCAGGTGGGCACTGCAGCTGTCTGTCTAATTGTTGGTAAAAGACACTATATAATGTCTCCGTGTATGGCACTTTTAACCACAGAAACTATTAATCATTTCAGGAACACTTCAGCCAATGAACAAACCCAAAGATTGCATGAACAAAAACTTGAAAGTTGATCATACAAGTGTGGAATGTCATGAATCTGCTGAATTTAAAAGAGATCATTTATAACCATTTCAAAAGTGCACCCAGAAGCAAAATGATCATTCTGTGCAAGATCCTTGAGCTCCGCTGTCATATAATGACCAAGTTATCCAATTCCAATGATTTTCACTGACTAAAAAACTGTATGTCCATTATTTTCCACGTAAAGGGCATCTATTTTACCCCTTTTTCAAGATTTAAAATAAGAATTGAAAACACTTTGAAAACACTGTAGCTGTATTTGTTGCCTGTGCCTTTAATGCTAGTTCTCCCTGCCCACCAATGCCACGTGCCTGTCAGAGTGTACCTCAATCTCCACCTTGGCTGCGTCAGATAAACAGTACAGTGACAGACATGAAGGAAGCAGATCTCATGTAACATTTGTGAGAAATACTACAGTAAGAACTTTACCAATGGGTATTTGATGTATTTGTTGCTGAGGTAATAAGTCAGTGAAAATGATGAGTCACACACAATCACACACAATGTTGTTACAAAGTTCACGCACACAAACGCACACAGCGGACACACACACAGCATTCGCATTTAACTTTGCACTGTTTTTGCATGGCAGATGTGACAGGATACACGTTAATATCCACTGCTGTATGGATATCCATCATGTTAATGTACAAAATAAACCTGATTTAACGTCCACAAAACCAAGATAGAAGAATCTTCTTTTATAATTGTACTGACATGGGGCTGTGGTGATAAAGCAGTAAAATCGCTGTAATTTATTACAAACATGTACTGTTTTAAAAACATTTTAAACTTTGAATACTCATTCTTAAACACATTTGACGATGATTGATGATCACAGCCAGCTCAACAGATCTTTTGATCCCAGTTGCTTTGCGCACGTCCTGTCTTGTTGATATGATTATACGCGTTACTATGAAGACATGTTTATATGTGGCTGTGAATCAATTCGGTGGGTGGGGAAACGGCACTCCTACGTCATGGTGCAGTGGGCCTCAAAATGGGAGGGATTTGGATCCTATTTTAACATCAGGAAATTGTAAAAAAAAAAGTGACTTACTGTCTTAAATTTACCCCAAAACTAGTGTGGACACACTATACCTACACACAGTTCTGCCCAAACAGCTTACAAAAGATGATTTTCATCATAGATGCTCTTTAGGATCAGCCATTGTGACTCAAAGGAGTCAAGACATCCGGTCTCATTTACTTACAACCATTTTTAGCAAAACAAAAGAAAACAACTTATGTTTATATAAAAACTCATAATATATTTGATTGCCAATTGACAAGCAGAAATTAAATAAAATGGCATGGACAAAAAAGACAAACCATAACAAATATTGCAACGAAAAACAATGTGATAAGCAAAAATAAAATGATCAAAATTCATGGTTCCATGACTTGAAAAATTTTTTATATATATATATATATATATATATATATATATATATATATATATATATATATATATATATATATATATATATATATATATATAAATTCTCTGACTTTCAATGCCTGAATAAACCTTTTAAAAATTGGTGATATTCCAGAAACACCATTACCCTAGGAAGCCTTGAATGACGTATGTCCAGACACAAACTCACAAGTAGGCTGAAGCTGTTTGTTTAAAAAGGAGAGTAAAAATGCTAGTTTTGTATTAATCATCAGAATTTGACATACTTGTGGTTACTCTTTCCTCTTTCTTTCTTGTATTTAGCACACATTTATATCCAGAGGGATATTTTTCAACAACATACTGCAGTTAAGGCTATGGAGCAAGACATAATTGAATGTCTTGCTCAAAAGCACATAACACAGGTTCTAAGCCAAAGGGACATCAGTGCAAGTCCAAACCCTCAGTCAGTGATCAGTAAATGATGAGAATCAGAGTTGGAAACTTCATGATTCTTCCTAAATAGGATGAATGGAAGCAGCAATGTTTGTGTTAGAAGACTAACCAAACTTAATCCACTCTTCAACACTATTAAATTCAACTAATTTTGTTGACATTCTTAGAATAATTGATTTCATGTGAGACCCACAGTCCTTTGGAAACAATATTAAACTGAAGTGTTTTTGAACTTATTTTTGAGGGTGATGAAGGGCTTTCTCTTGTCCAAGAAAGATTTTAGAATAGTTTTAGTGCAGAAATAAGGCCTGAGAAAATGCAAGCACATGCATGACACAAAATCATCATAACTCACGTTTAGTGCAGCGCTGAGATCCTGGGGTCTTGCTCCAACCAACACAGCACTGCCCCCCACAGACGTTCACTCTGCAATGACATCAAAAGTCACAATCACACACAAACTGAATGGACCTACTAACCTTACTGTAACCCCCCGGTCAATCTCCTCGGCCACCCAGAGCGGTTTCTGACGTAAGTCTGCTGTCACTAGTGGCATGAGGGCCCGGGGCCAAAGCTGGTGGAGGCTCCAATATAATCAGTCCTCTTATTCCCACTGTACTACTTCATACTGTACTTCATAGTAAAGTGACAGAAAATATGAAGAAATACAGGCTGGGATACACTTGTTACTCAGTGTGATTGTAGGGAATGTAAAAAAAAAACTTTGTAAATGGCCTCCCGAAACTTTTTAAGGGGCATCGAGTTCATTACTAGGGGAGCCGGTAGCCTACATTTAAACTGGCTCGCGTGGCTTACTGAAACAACAGATGTTACTGTGCTTTTTAAAAGGTTACGACTCGCTGTAGACTGGATGACTTATCAAATTTATTGCTACTTAATGTCATGTGGCTGCTAACACATCATTGGCAATAAGGCTCCAAATCTCTAATGGAACAGTAAAATCATTAGTTGACTCTTTCTAAAAGTTTCAAAGCATGCATGACTTTTAAGAATATTACTGTGGTATCTTCAGTAAAGATAACTAAACTCACTATGAACTTTCTTATGATGTTGTGTTGCAGAGGTTAATTTTTGCATTTATTTCATTCAACCCTAAACTACCATCAGCCCAGTTTTCAACGAGTACAAGTCTAAAAAAAAAAAAAAAAAAAAAACAATTATTCATAGTTTGAAAGTTTGTGTATTTGTTAAGTGACTGCAAAACAACTTTGCATAAAGCACTGATAATAGAAATCCCTGCTCATTCATTCTGTATTTGCATGTTTTGAACTGTTATTCGTGCCTATTATGGTCAATTATTTTGTCAAATAATCAAGATCGTTTGTTAAAATATATAATGAAGCTAAAACATCCTAAATGAAGTGTTAAATACTTTATACTCGGCTCTGTTCTTACCCTGACACTTTCATGTGATGGCTGGATGTGTGTCGGCCAGACTGCGCGTCCTGGCGGATCGGAATGCTCGGGTTCTGCTGGTGACCCATTCTGCGGGTCCGGACCTGGCCACCGAAGCTGGCTTTCAGCTCCACATTGTATGAGTGTGGCTGTCCCGACGCTCCCGAGAGCGATGAAATGGAGCTCACGTGAACCCCGTCTGTACCGCTCGGTCCCGGTTGCACAACGTACAGTTTCCTGAAGCCGCTCTGATCCGCCGAAAGAAAAGCCGGAGAAATTAATAACGTAACAGAAACAATGATGTCCCACACGAGCATAGCCATATCCTTTAGCAGTCAAAGTGTTGGGGAAGTTTGAAAGAAAGCCTCTGTACTATAAATATACACTATAGATAGAAAGATACCAAAATAAAACTATAGAAGCGCAGCTCCACTGTGTCGCGTGTGAAGCAGTTGTAAACCCTCGCGCGCTGTCATCTATTCGCCATAAGAAAACACTTAGAGGCAAACATAACTTAGAAGAGGGGGAAAATGCTTGGAGTTAAAGAAAATTTCAAAGCACGAAACGGAAATCGGGGAAAACGGGAGTCAAGGCGGCGAGAGAGCTCGCGTGCGCGCGGTTTGAGCTCGAGCAGAAGTTTGAAAAGTCTTGGAAAACTTTGAGCGCGTGTGAGTGTGCAAGGGCAGGAGTTTGTGCTCGAACTCCATATAGCCAATCTCCTGCAGACATGACGTCAGGGATGGAGCTCTTATTGGAACACACATGTGGGGCTGAACCTTTATACCAGAGTCAAAAAAAAAGTTTGTGTATATAAATTGTGCATACTTATGAATTTGAAGGTGGGGGTCGTTTGTAAAAAAAAAAAAAAAAAAAAAAAAAAGTCTGATACTGTAAATGCAGCCATCATAAGTCAAGCTTGTCACATAGAGTGCAAGCATCAGCTGCACACCTCTTTTTGGAGGAAAAAGTGTTATATATAGTTCAGAATTGGACATGAACTTGAACATTTCCCAGAGATGGGTTGCGGCTGGAAGGGGATGTGCTACGTAAAAACTTGCTGTATAAGTTGGCAGTTCATTCTGCTGTGGCGACCCCGGATTAATAAAGGGACCAAGCTGGCCAGAAAATGAATGAATGAATGAATGAATGAATGAATGAATGAATGAATGAACGAATTAACTTTAACAATATTAGTACAAAACTAAACAAAAATCCTATTACAATTTTACAGTGTGCATGAATGCAACCTATACTGTGATAACGGCAGCACTGTGATTAAGATGGAGCTCATGTAAACAGAAAACCACAATTATGCACATAATTAGTAAAAGCGTGATCACAGTATGCTTTAACCACATATATCCCACTCAAACCAAAATGTCAAGATGTGAAAGAGAAAAGACTACACTTTGGGCTCAGGAGTTATTAAAGTGATTGAAATCTAATGTACGGTAAAGTATTACACTTTTTATTTTGTTTGACAGCATCCCAGAACATTAAGGACAAATTGATGGTTAAAAATATAGGTGGAAAAAATATGTAATTTTTTATTCAATGTACTAAAGGCTAAAAAGAATTTGAATGGGCTTTGCATGTAATGTAACTATTCTGTTGGCCTGACCTGCCATGGTGGTTGGATTTAGAGAGGTTTTTCGACTTTTAAACTGTCAAAAAATAAATAAATTCAACTGACAGCCACCAGCTTGGCCAAGTTAAAAGATCAGAAAACAATCTTGGCCTTTTTTAGATGGATTGTTTTATGACAAGGCCTATTTATACCAGAGCACAATTATATGTGTATTTCCTAGCAAAAAAGGATTTACCAGCTTGAAAATCCTCCAGCTTAATACTTACAGGGAAATTTCTTCTTGCCTTTCATTTTTGGTTGAAGTACCTGTTTAAAATTAAAGATTCTTCATTGGCATTAAGTGTATGGTTCCACAAAGAACTTATACTATCCCACCGTTTACTACCATTGAACAATTTAATTTCCCCCTAAAATATTTAAATTTTTAAAAATGTTCTTTATTCTTATAAAAAAAAGGTATTTTAAGAAATGTTCACTGAAGAGTTCTTTAGGAAACCCAAAATGGATCACTGCGAAACTCTTTATGAAACTTATATTATTAATAGCGTTGAGTGTGTTGTGACATCCTAAACCAGCTAAGTCCATCTTTAAGAGGCTCTCTTTTTTTTTTTCAGCACTCCCCAGCTGTTTCAACACTATTAAAACAGAACCCTTGATTTATTCTGCTGATTTACTCATTAAAGTGATCCTTGTTGTTCAGCGCAGTTATGTAATCCAAATGACTTTCTCCCTACAGCATGCCTGACTGCTTACCAGCTCTAAATCTGACTTTGACAGTCTTCTGCCCATGAACGGGGACCCTATGGCCTCCCTACACGTCGAAAACCGGATCCTATTAATACATGGAACATCCACACGCAGCCTCCACACACAAATAGATGAACATGCCTCCATTCTTTCACATGCTCACAATTGCCTAAACTTAGCCGAAAGTCGCTGTCCTCCTACAGATGCTTGTTATCTGGATAAGCAGGATGTCTTTACAGCATTACTGAAAGGTGACTCAGAAACTTCCTTAGATCAAGACCATTTTAGGCCCAGACTAAGCTCGGCCCATTCTAGGACATGAGTGGGTGAGACAGACAAGGAATACCATTCCTCATCAGCTTCAGAGTATTTGGAAGAGGACCTCAGACTGATTTATTGATTGCATGAGATCATCCTTCAGGAGAACCCAGTGTTTTGGTGAACATTGTTAACGGGTGTTAAACAGAATGTTCTTGTGATTTACATGCACAAACACTCTCTTCTGTGAGGAATACTACCAAACTAGAGTTATGTTTTAATCAATTCATGATCTCTAATTAAATAAAAAGACAGTTCCTGCCTCAGCTGCCAGGTCTAATGGCTGGAGCTGAAACGGGGATTCAGTTAAGGAACAGAGAGACAGTGCTGTCATAAAGCTATTCTTGGGTCACCGCTATTTATAGTTTAAAAATAATGACCATCATAACTAAAAGAGAAGAGCAGGACTGAGAGAGAGAGTACAATGTTAATGGCATGCTTCAACTAAGTACTTCAGACCACTTTCTTTTTGTTTTGGTCTTTGAATTCATAACTCGTAACAAAATTAGGAGAGTGTATTCAGAATATAAGGAGAGCAAGAATAATTCTAACTAATACAGCACCTTGTTGCCATGTCAGTTGGAACAAACAATATAGCCTACAATTATTTTCCACCAACAGTCAAGTGTGTAGACCTTTTTGACTGTACTTGTCTATCTGTGCGCAATGTCTGTTTTTCTTAACGTATATATTGTCTTTTACATATTTATTGTGTTTTGCGTATTACTGTCAACAGTGCTAATAGTATATTGTTTGTTTTTTGGAGTATGTTGTTGTATTTTGCACTGTCTGGAGACAGTACCTAAGTATTTCACTCATCATAGCACACATACTGGTGATCATGTGGAAATAAAAGTTATTTGATATGAAAATAAAATCAACCTCCGCTTCAAACAGTTTCCATTCAAACAGAAAGTTGTCATAAAATCTAAATAACTACTTACTAGGTGCATGTCTATAAACTTGAAACACTGAAATTGATTTTAAGAATATAAAAAACAACTAACTGCTGTCATAAGTTTCACTTGTAAGATAAAAAAAAACAAATTTTAACCTAATTTTAATTACGAGAATTGTTGATTACTGTAATGGACTCTACACCGGCCTTCCCAAAAAGAAAGTCAGAAAGTTGCAGCTCATCAAGTACGCTGCAGCCCCAGACTCTGACCAGAACCAGAAAATCAGAGCACATCACACCTGTCCTCAGGTCTTTATATTGGCTCCCAGTTACATACATAATATATTTTAAAGTATTATTACTTGTCTATAAATAACTAAATGGCCAAGCACCTCAATACATTACAGATCTGCTCACTGAATACAAACTTAACAGATCACTCAGATCTTTAGGATAAAATAAATTAGAAATTCCAAGAGTTCATTCAAAGCAGGGTGAATCAGCCATCAGCTACTGCGTCCCCGCTGCTGGAATCAGCTTCCAGAAATGATCAGATGTGCTCCAACATTAGACACATTAAAATCAAGAATGAAAACACATTTATTTAGCCGTGCCTTTACTGAATGAGCACTGTGCTTCGTCCAACAGCTCACACTATTGTGTCTTTCTTTTCCTTTTCATTCTTTTATAACCTATTGTAACACATTTTAATCTGTTTTTATTCGTTTTAATAATTTTTGCTTGTCTCTTTTATTCCTATTTATATAAAACACTTTGAATTGCCACTGTGTATGAAATGTCCTACATAAATAAACTTGCCATGCTTTGATTTAAAAACAGGTTTGGAAAGGTATGACAGTAAGTAAATGATGAAAAAAACTTACATTTTTGGGTAAACAATCCCTATAAGGCAGCTTTAAAATCCTTAATTTATTAACTCACCTTTCGGGAGTCTCTTCTGCGGCCATTATTACAGTAGTGCCTGAACTGTAAAAGATCAGTTTTGTCAAACACAATCAACTTTTACGGTTATATAAACCGACAGAGAACATAACACAAGGCCCATTGGGTTCGTAGGTTGTTCATTTGTGCGTGAGATGACAAAGACACAATTAAATGACACTGCACCACACATGCAGCCCACTGAGGGAGGACAGGAACTTCACACTGTATCAATGATATCAGCACAACCCTGCGGGAGGAAAGAGAGCTGTGCTGGGGAATTAACAGTTTATGTAGCTAAAAATGTGCTTTGTGATTGTTGTCGCAGCCAGCAGGCCAGCCCCGGTGGGAGGAACGCAGATGCCTTCTGTCAGCAACTCTGCACTGTAATATGGGGCTTTCAAACACAAAGATTCAGTTTAAGATGCCACCTGAACTAAAACGTTAGACATTAAGACAAATGCATCCTTTGGGACCATAAGGAGAGCTTGACATCTATTTCTTGCTAGCTTCCAAAAGTGTAGCAGAGCAAACCTTAAATCCTGCCTCTGGAGGATCAATGCCCTGCAGATTTTTGCTCCATCCAGCTTCAATCCACTTGCCTGGAAGATTCTACGAAGTCTAAAGAGCTTAATTAGCTAGTTTAGGGGTGTTTAATTAGGGTTAGGCCTGATCTCTGCAGGAAGTGATTCTCCAGAAACAAGTCTCGACACCCCTGGTGAAGAGTGTGCAGGAGTATATTCAAAGACCAAAATAAGAAAATATGTTATCCATTTAACACGCTGGGTTACGTCCAACCAAAGTCCATTGGAGGGATGAGGTGGGGGGTTACTGGTAAAATGCCTGAATTACACACAATTCTAGATTTCTACAGCCTTTCCAGTTTTAAAGGTGACATTTTCAAGAGAAAATAGGTTAATAAAAATTACAAAATCATGCTTCAACGATATTGTTCATTGTTTTATACACCGTTTTGAGAAATGTAATGGTACCAGCGTACTTTGTTTTACATTTTTAATTTCTATAGCTTCAACAAATCCAAAAAGAGCCACATATTGATAAATAATGTTATGATAGCTGTTTTACCATTACGTAAGTTATGATTGAATTCCCTTGTTACAGTTATAAAATAGTGTTAATAACAAGCAGGAAATGTTTATGGGCCGATGACATGACCACATTGAAATGGTCTAT